AGAGATGGATGGTTGCTCACTGTTTCCCACTGTGATGGATTAATGTTCGTTATGCTGTTATCATTAAGTATTTGAAATTAAACTAGTAACACAGTTAAACAGCTTCAACATTGCCTGACTGCGCTCAGAAGAATACAGATAAATTCATTATTTTCCTATGAGCGCTCGGTTGTAGTCCTTGAAAATCCCTGTAAAGTTGTTAAAAATCTGAAATATGCTAAGATTGATACATCAGCTCCCATTACAAAGACTGGAAAAACCTTGTGTCTGTTAATTATTGATTTATTGATATAGTACGACCTCAAGTCACTGGAGGATATGATACTCTGGTGCTGCACAGGTCGGAAGCCAGCAAATTTCCTCTGTCCCTCTGGCCTTTTTTCACTACGTCTCACAAGCCAGGTGCAGCCTGTGTAGTGTAGGTGAGTGTAGTTCTGGGCTGTGAAAGGGTGGTAGTGCTTTCCATATCAGACAAATGTACTGCTAATGCTAAAGCCTTTCTGGAGCCATCAAAATAAAAAAAGGTTAATGCACTGCCCTTTTATGTTGCTGGAACCATGTGATGGCTGTTCTTGCAACCAGAGCTTTTGGCAGATTGTAGAGTATTATCATAAAGGGTAAAGCACATAAGCTCCATTGGATTTCCATTGTTATGTTTTCACAGTATTTACAAAGAAATGTAAAAGTCTACAATATCAAACTTCTTGTGAGCCTCTAGAAATGTACCTTCCTTACATTTTTTTTATTCTAAAAGAATACCATTGGCTTATTGTCATGATACAGATCTCTGTACATTTCTAGATTTTTGGAACTGTAGGTTAGACAAATAATCCTGACCTTTTTCCAAAATTACATTTCATAATCTAATCCCAGTTTGAAGACAGATAACAGCAATAACATTTTCATTGTGCTGTTTACTCCTGACTGCAACAGCAGGATAACTTTCTGCCGTCGGTGTCCCCTGAAGCCTCAAAAGAACCTTGGCCACTTAAAAAAACACTGTGCATGAAGATTAAGGAAGCTCCTGCCTTTTTCTCTCCTGATCACAAGTGTTCCCCTCCCTGTAGGCTTGAAATATTAATGGAAGGATTTTATTCTTGTGTCAGGAAGGTGACCTTAAAACATGTCTCTGTCTACAGGGAGATGTACTCTACTTTCCACAAGCTACTCTTCTCCTTACAAAAGATATATATTTAAATATATGTGTGTTTGTCCAAGAGTCTGTAAAGTACATGCAATAATTTCCATTGTCAGGATAATTTTGATTCACCATATGGTATAAGAGGATAAGAAGAAGCAACACGTTTTCAAAAGTGAAATGGCCATAAATGTGTCTATTCATCTTATTATGGCTCCAAACTGAATAATGTAAAGTACAGCCCCTACAAGTGATGGAGGAGAAATGCGACTGCTGGGACTCTGTCGTCCTTTTTCAGCTGTGCAGGTCTGTGCTGTCAGCCACGGGCTTCTGTAAGGCGTTGAGACTAATAACACAACAGCGCTTTACTCAAATGGTTTTGACTTATTTATCATTATTTAGACAAAAAACATTATTTTGGAAAAAAAGATCCAACTGTAGAATTTAACTAGGATTTTCTTCTAAATGCACCACCTTCATGGATACAGCCTTGCTGGAAATTTTCGTGACATGTTGAGAAAACAAGAATAGCGTGACATTCATTTAGCAGATATGCCGCGGATATCTGGAGAAGAAGTCTTCTGAAAGATGCCCACTCTTCCTGCTGTGCCACAGTTGCCTCCCGTTGGCGTACTAAGTGGACCCAGCAGGTCCCCAGTGGTTTCTATCAACCCCAGGCTTGTTTGATGCTTGTTGGCAGTGTGGTGTTTGGTGGTGTGAAGGGAGAGTTCATGCCTGTCAAGTCCAGACAGCATGTTCCAGGGATTCAGGATCAGTCATTTTGGTTAGAGATGGGTGGAGAAATGAGGCCTTAGTGGAAGAAGTTGCTATGAAAATATATATTTAGAGCTTTTTTCCCCCCACCTTCATTCACTGGACATTTTCCATCTTTTACTTGTGGCTCCTTTGTGTGTCTGCCTTAACATCTACAAATCATAACAGGCCGAACACTTTGGGGACCAAATCTAAATAAAATGAATGAAAAAAAAAGAAAATATGTTTGCCAGTTGGTTCTTGTTTCACTTGACTAAGTTCACACTGGTTGATATCCAGTTTTTGTTGTATAAAATTAAGGGAAGAGTAATTCAGAAAATGTACAATTTGATAATGACCCAAAATCACTGTCATATGTTTCTTTTCTGGTGGTTGTTTAGCAAGGATAAGGAAAAGCCTCAACTCCCCACACAAATCTTTCTTATAGTTGAGTGAAAAACAAACATCTGAATCAATGGAGGAAGTTCTCGTGCTTATCTGTACATCGTGTCCTCACAAATGGAAACATAAATAAACTAGACACCCAGAGATCAACACTATTTCAGAGGCAGGTCATTACTGGGCTGCTTGTGTGTCCAGAGCACAAACAGCCACTGCTGATGTTGAGCCTGATTACAATCGCAAATACACAAACAGCAGTCACCGGCGGGTCGGGTGGAATTCTGATATTGTGCTGTTTTAACAGGAGCTGGGGAGTCTGGGAAGAGCACCATTGTGAAGCAAATGAAGTAAGTTACAAAATCACGTTTTCCCCTCTTTCTTTTTTGAGTCTCGCTTTGTCCTGTGCTGCCCAAACATGGATTGTTCACCTGACTCATAAATTAGACACCTGTTAAATTAAAACAACCAAAAAAGAGTATCTGGCTATATGTGGAGTATCTGACTATTTTTTCACTATTCAAAACCCGATAAAGATTTCTAAGGTAAAATGTGAACTGGCATTTAATGTGTTTGGATCACACGCGCAGGTGCTGTCCATGACACCTTAAATCAGAACTGCGTTTAAAGTAGCAACCATGCCGCTGTTACAAAAAAAGGTCGATTTGAATTCACACATCGCCCTTTCCAGGGATCGCTGCACTTTAACTGTTTATATTCAGGAATGTCTGAATATGGAGGCACTTAAAATGTCTGTGTCACACTCTGAACACAAACCCACACATATGGACACACAGAGGACCCTAAAACGCTTAACTATTCACATTCCTCAGGGCAAGTGAGACATTCAATCTATTTTTTATTAGTTTGGAGCAGGAGGCGTCTATTGCATTTGAAACCAATTTATTAACACTCTCAGGCATGCTGATAAATCACCCTGTGAGACACCTAGATTACTGCTTTGCTGTGTACCATAAAACATATCCTCTGGAGAGTCAGGAAAAGCCAGTTTGAAATATTTTTTTTAGATTACTGCTTTTATTAAGGTTTGCATTACTACTCAGTGAGCAGCTTGACTTTGTAGTAAAAACTGAGAATTGCCTCTCATGATGTCTGATAAGATGGATGCATGTTCACGCAAAGGCACTGCTCTCCCTCACTTTTTTTTATTTCAGATTAATGATTTTGCAAGGGATAAATGCAGGTTACAGCCTCAGTTGAAAGCCTCAGAGTAAAGGTAGCTCATCTGTGAGCTAATTGCCTTACAGGGCATGCTGGCCTCAGGACTGTAGAGGACTCGTAAATTCTCTTGTGCAGACTGTATAGCAATGCTGACCATTTATGATACCTTACATCATTATCACTCTTATGGCAATACGTAGTTTAGACTGTGAAGCATTTTCACCTTATTGTTTGGTGTACTGTTAATATACTTACTGAAAAGAAATAATTAGGGGGTTTGACTTGATGAGTACTGCCACCTATAGGCTCCATAGAGGTCAGAGGTAGGCAGTTTCCCAGAAATACCAACGCACCTTTGCATTTAGAGTTGGCTTGTTTTTCTAGAGCCTGCTTTGCAAAAATGTGTGTACATTTTAAGGGTAATGCTAAAATGGCCTAAATTGTGATGATTAGTGCACTTTGTTGTTTTTCTCTTTATGTAAGCACTAGGGACTACCGGCCTGCCTATTGGAATAAGGTCATGACCACACATGCTCCTGTCTACATTAAAACTGGTTAGTTATTGGATGGCTGTTGTCTCCATCTCACTGCAAAAATTTCCATTTTATAGCAGCTGTAGTCAATATTTGAATTGACTTGGGTTTCGGCTGTTTTGTCCAGCTCAGTGTTGCGGAAGCGGCTGGAGCCTATTTCAGCTGAGCGAGAGGCAGGGTGCGCCCTGGACGTCACAGGGCCACACAGACCGACAACCATGCACACTTAAACACGCACTGCCTGCCTCCATTTAGAATAATCAACTGACCCATGGTTCGGTTTGGTAGGAGGAAACCGGAGTTCCCATGCTCACACAGAGATAACATGCAAACTCAACAAAAAATAATAACACCCAAGCTGGACTCAAAATCAGGAGACATCTTCCCGTGTGGTAACAGTGCCAAACACCACTCCACCTTTCAGTCCCCCCAATGTTAGAACTTCCTCAAATACACTGGCTGTGTTCCACATGGTTAATATCTGCTGTATAGACTGTAATCAGCAGGACAGAACAGAAGTTGTAATGTAGAAATAAAAAGCCTTATCATCCACGCAGTGACATGAGTTAGGGACATGCAATATTTACTTTCTTAAGATTTCCGTCTCATAGTATGTGCTCTGACACATTTTTTTCAATGCAGAATGAAAGGCAACAAAATATAGGGGACGTTTTATATGAAATATCAATATTTTTAATGCTTTTTCAATCTAGTGTTTCCCATTCCAAGTTTTATAACTTTAAACATTTAAATGACTACTTAGGTTTGCAATACCAGTTTTGTGTTGTTGTTTTTTCGCTCCATTGAAGCTCTAAAATGTTAATTTATGAAATATGCTATGCTTGCATCGCAGATATACCAAGTCACCCAGTTTTGAGTTTTTCTGGGTTTATTTATCAATCAATGATACAGTAATCAATTTAAGATAAGATAAACTTTGATACAAATGTGAAAAGATGTTTTTACTTTATTCAACTTTACTAATTGCAAATGCCATGTGTGTGAAAGAGGTCACTTACGCTTGGAGTGAATCCATAGAGGCTTTCATGGCCAGCATGAGCGTCAGGCTTTATGAAAGCAAGCATCATTACTTTTGCTGAGTGTATCCATCAGTGCTCATTGAGTTAAATGTTGCTTTCTTCTCTAATATTCTCAGGATCATCCATGAAGACGGCTATTCAGAAGATGAGTGTAAACAGTATCGAGCAGTTGTGTACAGTAATACCATCCAGTCGATTATGGCTATTGTGAAAGCCATGACCAGTCTCAAGATAGACTACAGCAGTCCTGCCAGAACGGTAAGACACTCAACCACAAAGAATGCATTTGTTAAAGTGTAGCCTTTTTTCAAACTACCTGAACAGGCATGGTCTCCAGAAATTCACTGTCATGAACAAGAGCTAAAACAAAGGATAGGATAGTCTCCCTTAGTATGAGAGAATATAGAATTAAGGTAGCCGTTCAAACCATGGGCAGAACAGGATATCCCTCAGGCCACCACAACATCTGCTTTATCATCTTGCAGTTGTGTATATACAACAGACTTTAAGGTTTACAAAATCCTTTACCAGAACTGGAATCACAAGAGATTGCCTTTTGCTCTAAACTCACAAAGGTCCAAACATGGTTGCATGCGCAGCCTGTTATCTCCGGAACAATCACTTTACTCCCTCGCTAAAATCCATCCCAGTACCCCTCACTAAACAAAGATTATTTCAAGGCCGTATGCCTGTGGGAAACCTGGAGATTTTTTCCTCGCCGATTGTTGTTCAGTCGGTAACTCCGGCAAGCTGTGCCAGCGCAATAACTGTGGGATCGTGCGGGTGCCAGCATGCACCTGTCCACAGCAGCCATTTGTCAACAGAAACATTGATGTGGTGGAAAGTGGAACACTGTGTAATCGCTATGTGATACATCCTTAAAACCTGCCGGGAAACTGTGCCCGTCTCCCCCGCTGCACAAAGTTTTGGTAGACAAATAGAAGTCTGAAACTACCAGAGCTGATGCGAGAGAAAACGTTACCACTTTCTTTTTGCAAACAGGTCTGATCGGCTCAGTCTGACAGCTGTCTGAGCAAATCTGACCTGTTAATCCTTAGGCATTCCCACGTTTTAGTCTGAATAACACTGCTGCTTTGACATAATCTGTTGTTTTAAGAACTACTATTTTATTTCTAAGATCTGAGATTAGCTTGTAGCTCTTGCCTTGTTGCGCTTTTGCGACCAGGAGAACCATTTAAAGGGTGGATCTTAGCAAAACCCGTAGAACACTTACTGATTGTGTAATGCACTCGTCCATCACTGAGCCATTACAGAAACAGACTTCCAGGTACTCCGATACACATGCTTACAGGTAATTCAGAATCACATTTCAATGTAGAAACAGGGTACCCAGAGAAACCTTCACAGGTAACCTGGACAAAACATTCAATCTCTTAACAGGATTCACATCAGAACAATGTCCAGTACTCACAACGTCACCCATCATTAGTACAACCTCAAATAGGAACTTCATGTCGATATATATTTAGATCATTTTCTCTGACAAAGTTGTGTCCCTTGAAGTTTAAGCAACAAAGACAGCTCCGCTCACCCAGATAATCTTCCATGGCCGCTGTAGTCACAGCCATAGCCGATGCAAACAGGTGTTGCCCTAATTAACATATTCACAGGATCTCAGCTCTGCATTCATTAAACTTCTTTACAGTGGCGTTTTTAAACAGATGACAACAAAGATAGACACACAAAGAGTCATGCCCATCAGCATCAACAAGTCGTGGCTCTTGCATGGAGATGTAGTCCGATGGATCCTGTGAACTCTCAGCAATCTTTAAACTAACTCTAGTTGGGCTCATTCCTGTGGAGGGTGGGATATTATTTTTTCAGTGTCACCCATAACTGAGACCATAAATGAAAGATTATGGCTTCGGTTATGTGCTTCTGTGGTGTTGTCTTCATTTTTCTTTTTTTTTCTCTCTCACCAATAGAGCTGTGTGTGTACGTGACGATACTCCCACACATTGCAATTAGCCTTAGCCCGCCTGCGCTGGCACACATCAACACCGTGTAGTGGTGCTCACACACTAACACTCTGATTGTGTATTTTCTGTCTACTCATGCACAAAAACTAAAACGTACATGATATCAGTATTTTCAGTCTCACTTCAGCAGCATTGTTTGCCATTCAGTTCGGCCGTGGGAGCAGGGAGAGTGGAAAAACTGTTATCACATGATCACTGTTTCAACAGACAGGTTAACTACAGCAGCTTAAACATGTATTGCCCACTTTAAAGCCTTTCAGCAAAAACACGATTAAAAAATGTTTTTGTCTGCTCTACTGAAAACATTAAAACATACATGCCAAAATCTATTGAACTGGATTTTTTTCCTGTAGCAAACATGTTAAATGGCCAAGAGAGGCTTCACTAATCATACGAAGTATTAAAGTTTTCATCTTGAAAAATATTAACTTTCTCACGCTGAACTTAATTTGAAACCACATTTTTCCATGACAGCTTGGAAACAGAACATTCTGACACAATGCTCATCCCCTCTCTCATCTACCAGCAACTGTGTTCAAGTACTTTGTTCACAGCATGAGCAGCAGAAGAAAACACTGCATCTGAAAAATACTGCTTTATTTCCTTATTGATTCACAGCATTAATGTTCTTAAGTACTTACGGTAAGAACACAACTGCAACAGAGACAGCTCTGCACACCTCCAAACGATCCCAGCACAGGGACATGTGGGTGGAAATGTAGGGTGTAAAAAAAAAGAAGCAAATTGTTGACATGCTCATGAAAAGAAGATTCCGCAGTCAGTGTTTTTCTTTTGAGCAAAATCCCATTTTGTTTAAAATGGTGATTATGCTGTCATTTTCAAATAAAAAAAGCATTTTTCCCTTGAGATCTTCAGTATTCAGACATACACGTGGACACTAAGTGAACGCACAAGTGAAACTAAGAAAACCAATTGGCATCCTCACAATACTCTTTAGACAGCTGAAACCATCTGAGTCTTTTTAAAAATATATATTTTCAAGATCCTGACAAGCATTTTAGTGGAAAATTAATAAAAACCAATGGATAATTTTAAAAATGTATTTATGTTTTATTTGTACCATTTGTGGTAATAACATGTTTAATTAGGTTCTCACATTAAGCTCCATCTAAAAGAATGCGCCCCCTTTTCTATTGACAGTTTGTTACAGGATGTCAGTCAGATTTTGCTGTTTGCACATCCGTGGCCAAACACATTCAAAACACTGGGAGGAACCCTCAATCCTCACCTTTGATTGTGACTCTCACATTTTGGCCAAAAACTGTTGCCCTGTTGTTGGGTCAGTGCCAACATGGAAAAATAAGCAAGATGGCGAACAGCAGGAAATGGCATTACAGGCTGTTCTAGCCGCACTGTTACTTTGAGTCACACCGACACATGCCTCATATTCTACATGTGCCCTGCCCGGATTTACTGGCAAGCTTCCTACCAAACTTTTGCCCCACTGGCTGCAGTTCAGAGAAATAAATCAGTTTGTTTTGTGGATTGAATCTCATCTGTTATGTGGGCTAACTTTTCCATGTTGGCGTTTGTACAAATTGTTCATAGTAACAACCCCGTGCTGTTTCCTTGTGGCCCCCTGTAGGACGATGCCCAGCAGCTGTTTGCCCTGTCCGCAGCTGCTGAGGAGCAGGGCACTCTCCCTGAGGACTTGGCCAGTGTGATGAGGCGACTGTGGGATGACAGTGGCATACAGAGCTGTTTTACAAGGTCGCGAGAATACCAGCTCAACGACTCGGCAGCATAGTGAGTAGAACGTTTAGAATGCTTATCAGGATTTTTCTACATTTTCTCAACCACTTAGCAATATGCTTCTGAACACTCTAGTTAACCAAATGTAAATGCCAGGATGGATTAATGAGAAATCTCCAAAGAACCTGTCAAAGGATGTACGCTTGCATGTGGTTTACAGTGGGTGGTTGTCTTTGAGCTTAAACACAAAACTCTTTTATTTGAAAAGAACCTAAACAGATCCATGTGTTGCTGATTGTGTGATGCAGGTATTGACCACTTTTATATTGATGCCATGATGATGGCTGTTGGAGACTGTTGCCTTCGGGGCTGCAGTTGGATCCCATTTGCACTGTCTCTGAGGGCGGCTGCTGTGAAAACCCATCGGACTTCTGCGAGGGAGTAATGGAGACGTGAAAGATAGGCCAATAACTTCCATTTAGGGATCACTTCTCCCTCGCCGGGTTCGATCTTAAATATTGCTACCTAAAAAGAGCTCATTCAAGTTTGTCCCAAAGGATGAAAACACAAGGAAAAACAGAGGGTTTACACAAAAGAAAAATGGGCTGAAGTTAATGTTCGAAATTGATTGTTGCCATGAAAATATCCCTGAGCGACTCTTCTGCCTTATTGAACATGTTAATTAACTCTATATCAGTTCATTTGGAAGTGACTGCTATTAGGAGACAGATGAATGTTTGCTTAGTTCTATTCACTTCAGTGACTGCCAGTGTTTTTAGCTCCATAATTACTGAAATGATAAAGCACGCGGCATGCATGACTGGTGTAATCAGTAGATGTTAAATGCTGGATATACCCGATATCTCTCTCTTTCTGTGAAGTGTTGGTTGGCTGGGCAACTAAAGCTCCCAGCTGGCTTTGGAGGATGATGCAGTGCTTGTGTAAGTGGGCCAGGTTGAGCCAAGCGTGGAGAAGATGCTGTAGCACCCCCCCTACTGACCAGCAGTCTGTCAGACATTTGAGAAAATATGGACAGAGAGCCGGGGGTGACAAGTTTTAGGTAGAGAGCGAAAAGATAGACGCAAAGGTGAAAGCAATGCCTCTGTTTTTCTCTGTGATGGTTTCAGCTTTATTTGGATAACAGATGCTGAAGGAAGCTTTTCTTTTTAAATGCAAAAACATCATGAATGGTTGAGGTCACACCTGTGTTAACTTGCATTATTGTATTTAAATTAATCACAAGAGAAACAGCATTACCTTGTTTTTACAAGTACACAACCTGCTTGTTAGCATAGAAATCCTCTCTCTGCAGATTGTTCATAGTACTAATAGTTTTAAATCCCTCGAACACACTATACCCTGTGAGATACAAGTCAGCCAGCCATGACTCACCATGGCTGGCTGACTCTGTTACATTGTATGCACAGAGTTGATGTTTGCTGTTCTTGCTCTCACCTTGTCTTAGTCATCACAAGCCGCTCCTGAGATTCAGGCTAAGCTGGAAAGCATTTCCCCCGAAACACTCTCGATATAGATCCCGATTCCATGTTTCACGTTAGCAGTGTGGGTGAATGTTTCAGAACTACAACCAGAATGCAGCATGTCCCACAATGGGAGTCACAAGTCCAAGTGAGCATGAAAGACATGTATCAACAACAGCTGCCACCTTCAAACAGGAACTAAATGAATCGACTCCTCACAGAGTACTGTTCAAAGCACTAGAGTCCAACCTGAATAGGGCATTTTGCTAAAACATTGCAGCCACCTATTAGGGTGATCTCTAAGAAGGCACTTAAACTCTCTGAAGTGTTCACGGTAGAGCAAAGCAGCTCAGCCATTCAGAATGTTTCTGATGTTAATTGCTCATTGAGTGGTTCACAGACTTTGGATGAGCTGAGTCTGTCTGTTTGTGAGGTTGTTCCACTTTGCAAACCATGTTGACGTCTTAATCCCTTTCTTTCTGTCATAGTTACCTGAATGACCTGGAGAGGATAGCCAAAGCAGATTACATTCCCACCCAGCAGGATGTGCTACGAACTCGGGTTAAGACCACTGGCATTGTTGAGACTCACTTCACCTTCAAGGAGCTGCACTTTAAGTAAGTATCCTATTTTAGTGACATCAGGAAGAATGAAAGGGTTTCGAAACCTCATGCCTCTCTCAGTGTCAACATGCTCATTTGCTTGTGATGCCATTTGGTGATCAAGAAAAAAACAAAAACATGCCATTTAATCTTACCAGTGTCTCCAGTTGAGTATTTCATTCGAGTTATCTGCAAAGAGCAGCGACACAAAAAACTCTCTTCGATGTTAAGTTTGAAAATGCCACAACTGCTGTTTTCATTTGATAATGCGACATGACTAAGTCATAATGACCTTCCCCAGGTGTCTGTGTGTAGGCAGGCCATTTATGTAGTTTACATCTACCCAGAAAACATAACGCGCCTGAAGGGCCGACAGACACTCGTGATTTTAAAATATGAAGCTCTACCTCTTAAAAGCCCAATTATACCAGCAATTAAAAGCTTAATCATCACCAGTGCACCAAAAGCTGAGAGTATGAATCTGATCCATCCCACAATTCTCCTGCGTAATAAAAAAACTAATCCTATTGAGTGATAACGTCTGAGTGTGTCATACTGCAAATGGCGGCCTGCTTACATAACATATGTCTTACCCCAGCCTAACTCATGTGTGGGTTAGTAATCGATGTATTTGCCTGATGTCTTAATGGTAGCTGTGTAATAAGTGAATATACAGATAGTGTATCAAGCGCACAGATGCAAACAAAGTCTTTGGTATGTAGAAATAAGCGCTCAAGTATTTTGTATTTGCAGGTTTCAGCTCTTTGGTTTGTCTTCATTAGGTCTCCAATTGTCTTTAGAATTTGCTAAACAGAAGTGACAGTAAGAAAGGCAGGAGCAGCAGCAACCACGTGGTTTTGGTGTGATCTGTTTTCTGATAGACCCTCTGATATTTACCCTGTATCACAGGCTCAATATTTGCCCACTCGTAATACACAGAGGCAATCAATCCGTAGAAAGTCCCCTTGTTGCAATTCTGCCTGGTTTGTCACAATAATGGATCACAAAAGCATGAAGTTGCAGATGGCGTCAGTGGCCTGATTTATATTAGTCAAGACGGTGTTGTAAGAATATGCCTGACCCCATCAGACTGTTATCGTCTCAAATTTTGCTCAGACGTCGACTATAGCTCTCAGATTTCTCATTAGCCATTGCTTTTCTCTGGGTATAGCGGCATGCCCGGTTCATGAATCCCACATAGGCCAATCAGATTTTTGTCCTCTGTCTAACAGTTTCCACTTTCTGTCATTTGTGCTCTCAAAACAACCTTTAACAATGTGTATATTATTTACAGGGGTGGAATATCACATGATGAACATTTTCCCTCATTCACTGTCATTCCTCCTGAAGTCCTCTGCAGCACCCTTTTTCCTTTCATAGATACGCCATCACGCATTTTACACCTCCTTCATTTTCCTTTGCAGAATGTTCGATGTGGGAGGCCAGCGCTCTGAGAGAAAGAAGTGGATTCACTGTTTTGAGGGAGTCACAGCCATTATCTTTTGTGTTGCACTGAGTGCTTATGACCTGGTGCTGGCAGAGGATGAGGAGATGGTAAGAAAAACCCCATCAATGTGTTCATCAGCATAAGATGTATTTAATTTTAGTAGCTCATTCAAATTCTATTTGGCTTCTGGAAAGTATTTTTTAATATAAAAAAGATAGTTGCTGTTTTTATTAATCTTTTTATTTGCACGTCACTTGAAGCATTAGTCCAGATCTTGAGCTGCCGGTAAGTGCTCAGATGAGATTCTGCCAGTGGGTGCTCTGAATGGTGCATCTTCTATTATTGTACATGGATTTGAGAGGCAATACGACACAACAGTGTCCCCTGGTGGCAGCTCGGATCCATCGTTCTCCTCAAATCAAAGCCATGACCAACGGCTGTGCTTCCCTTTAGAACCGGATGCACGAGAGCATGAAGCTTTTTGACTCCATCTGCAACAACAAGTGGTTCACCGAAACCTCCATCATTCTGTTCCTCAACAAGAAGGACCTCTTTGATGAGAAAATTACCCGGAGCCCCCTCAGCATCTGTTTTCCCGAGTACACAGGTACGCAGCACGGAATATGTCGTCTCTTTACCCGGGCGAAGAACTCAGCACCTGCTGAGACTTCCTTCGGGCTTGACAATGCATGACTTCTCATCTATATCTCCAAACCGTTTAATCGCAGGAGCCAACAAGTTTGATGAAGCTGCGAGTTACATTCAGACCAAATTTGAGGACCTGAACAAGAAAAAGGACACCAAGGAGATCTATACCCACTTCACCTGTGCCACCGATACGAAGAACGTGCAGTTTGTCTTTGATGCAGTCACTGACGTCATTATTAAGAACAACCTGAAGGACTGTGGTCTCTTCTAAAGGTAGGATAATGGCATGAGTGGGTGGGGGGAGCTATTTTAGGCCGCTTCAAGGCTGAATGAAAGACACTAATCACACGTGGGTTATCATTTACACGGCCTGCTGATCCCACATCAGCAGGCGTACAGATGTAGACCAGCGTTTCTATTTGCGCTCTGAGATGAGCTGTTCTGCTTTTGAGAAGCTTGGTTGCGCACAGTTTTGTACAAAATCCATGTTTCCCTCCATTATAGACGCCAAGCTTTTGTCTGATTTAAACACATTTTTAAGTACCATCTAGTTTACTTACTGATCCTGATCTCTTCAGGTAACTTAGCAGTGCGCAGTCGCCTCTGGTCTTGCACTATGTCGCTCATCAAGGAGAGGAGTGCGATCCATAACATTTTCATATTAACAATCTTCTTTCTTTTCCCCTGAAAACAAGCTATTTTCATGTAAAGAAAGCTGTGTCCTTTACCACAGAACGTAATAGGTTGCTTTTTTGTTTCCTTTAATGTATATTTCACATTTTAAGCAGCTTTTTTGCTGCTGTGAGGATGTTTTTTTTAACCAAACTGTGAGGATGAAAAGGATGGGTACTAAGTTTGATTTGTGTCACCACAAGATGTCACCAAATCTGCTAAAGCCGCTGCTTTAAACCAGCCTGCTGTCATCAAGGTTCTCATTGCTTTTTAGTGGATCCTGTCAGCTCACCAGTTGTTCAGAATAAGGCTTAAAGTAAATACAGCCTTCATACCAACTACATTTCCATCATATACTGACTCAAAATTGTTATTGTTCAGACTATAATTGACTCAAAAATGTAATTCTTTTTTCAGCTTTTTTTTTAATGTTCATGCATCTGATGTGACTTAGTTGAATGAATGTTTTTCAAGTGTTTTATGTTTCACAATACATACCCAAGTATGAGCAAACCTGTAGCTCTGGACCTGAATTATTGCAATAAAACCTGACCTTTCTCTCTTCTCTTTTCCTGTAGGATGATGGCTGATGCACAAAGACTGCATGAGAGACGTCAATAGCCATGTGATGATTACAGCTTTTCATAATGAAAACTATAACAGACTTTGTTGTTGGAGGGGGGATTTGACAGAACGTCCACAATCACAGCTTTGAAAACCTTCTCTGTACCATCTGTTATTATTTTTATACATATATATTTCTTATTGCTCTTTGTTCTTATTCTATTAATGCAACACGGTTTTGTTAGATTTCCTCCTGCTTTGATAACAGCAATCAGCAGTTAGAACACTTTCATTAGATATACAACATGCAGCAACGTATCTGCCAAGAACAATTAGTGGAAAATAATTGTTGTTGTTAAAAAAAAACTCATTAGCTCCCCTCAACCCATGGTATCAGATGGAAAATGAAAAGTCTAAATTGAAACATGTTTAATTACAAATAGAATCAGATCTGTGGACATCTTGTTTAAATAGTTTCCAATTAATTTTTCTCAATTCTCTCATTTGCTTTGGTCTCTTTTAGATGTTTTTTAAGGTACTGATTTGATGTTGCTTTTTGCTTTGGGATGTAGGAGGTGCACAGAGTTGTGAAAAAGATAGTATTAAAAAAAGTCACATTAACTTATGTTAACTCATTTTCTGAACCTTTTGAATTGCACAGAACTTATTTTTAAAGAAAATTTAAAAAGCATGTAGAATGAAATTGGATGAAGGGAAAATGTTTTTGTACAATGTTTACACACAATCAATATTCACTCTTGTACTGTAGTGCATTGTTCTGCATGACCGTCCATAGATTAGTCTGTATCCCCGACGAGCTGAAGAACATTCCTTAAGTAACTTATTTAAAGAAACAAAAACAAAATGTGTCCCTTTTAAGGTATCTGCAAGATTTTTAAATGGTTATGTCTGTTCTCATAATGGATTGTTCTGTACCGTCTTTTCATTCCAAGTCTTTTTACATATGTTTGTGCCTTGATATCTGTTTACACTTGTTCTTTAGAGACATGCTATCTACATAATGTGAATTAGGGCTATTTCTACTCCACCTAAGCTCACATAATCTATAATTTAAGATGCACCACAACACCAAGACAAATGTATAATACTTCAATAATAATAGAGGAAAAGTCATTCATATGTTAAATGTAAATAAACGTTTGGTCACACTATCTTTTACTCTACAGAGTGATTTGTTTAGGGAGAGGCCTCCATCACTAATAAAGAGGTGCTGGGTGCTGGTATGAATGTGTCATTCTTATTTCAATTACAGCATCACTTGAGTCCAGTGCCATGTTTGCATTTCAAAGGGACTGACATTTTGTTGGGAAAAAACAATGCCAGTAGTTTGCCTGTTTCCTGATAAACGTGAAGCTGCTATGGCCAGAGGCGTAGGGATCCACAAGGGGGCAGGAGCCTATGTGATTTCACCAGATTTCGCTATGACAGATTGACCATTTCCACAGATTAGAATTATCATCAATCTGTGTCAGAGAAAGTAATCAGTATATCCCTATTTTTTAAATTTTCAGAATGAAGCAGGTCCATTCAGCAGCACATCAGATTGACTTTAGAGTAACGTGTACTGATAATTGCTTTTTGGGACAATATTTCTTTCACGGGAGTTGTTCCTGAGTCATACTGTTTTTCTCTTTAAGAGACTAACAATCAGCATGCTTATAATAAAAAATCCTCTTTAAACACTTGTCTATGCAACATGTCTATTCAAGAAATCTATAAATTTTAAAAGCACTCACACAGCACCATGATTAAACCAGAAGGAAATCAAATAAATTATATCGGCTTCATGTAATGGGGGGGGGGGGGGTAAGGAAAAAACTGAAGGAGTTTGCCTCCATCACCCAGATCCAGATGTGGGGTCCCAGCAGTCTGGCCCGGGGAGATTTACACATAATGGGAGCCTGTGAAATCACTGGTGGAAGTATCCTGTTACAGGCGACTTCTGATTGGCTGGTTTTCTTTTTTAAAGCGGTGCTCCGATTTGCTGCAGCCCAAAACTCAGCATCGTCAAAGAGCGCTGACAGGAGCTGGCTGGATTCAGAGGAGCCAGGACCCAGGCGAGAGGCATCAGCTGGGGCTGCGTAGACCTGTTGACCGAGCTCGGAAACAATTCCGAACAAGAAATGGTGAGGCGTTTTTTTTTTTTTGCTTTTTCCGATTCTCAACTTTGGTTTTGCTTTTCCCACTATTTGCAAAAGCCATGTGTGGACTGATCTGTGCAGGAAACATCATGAAGGTTTGCGCACGCGTCTAAAGTTTGTTTTTTTCCCCCCAAAAAATATATTTGGTGCTCTGCAGTGTTTTACCTCCACATGGCATTTTAAACGGGGTTAGATGAAGCTCACAGTTTGTGTGTCCCGTTCAGGGGCCACATGGCTCAGCACCCACAGCTGTGATAACATCATGGCACAGTGGTATACTCACTACTCCAAGCCAAACACTGGCAGGGGAAAGAGGCTCAGCAAAAATAAATAAAGTAAGACATATAAAGAGCAATCTCCATGGGAGGAGAAAACTTACTGGTTACTCTTAGAACATTTCTGCTACTTGCTGGCAAGCTCTGACACTCTTTTTTTAAATTTGTTTGTAAGTTTTTGAGGATTTTTTTTAGCTTAATTTTCTTACTTTGAAATGTGGAATATTTATGAGTCACGATGAGCTGATTTGTGGGTAATTCCAAAATGTCGCTGTCATTTCCTGCTTTTTAATACAAACCAGTTTACATCCTGTAGGCTAGGGGAGTCAGGGGAGGATATGTGGGCCTGCACACTCTAATGGAGATTCAGCTCTACTTTGTTCAAACTTCCCGTTTAGCTTTGGGAGACAGGCAGAGTTTTTCCAGGTTTAAAATGTGCATGCTGCGCTCAGAATTTTTAATGGTTCATTTTCTGGGATCACGCTACAGGGGATGATCTCTATCAAGCTGCTCTGAGGCTTGTCTGTGATTATTAAATGGCTGCAGAACTGAGTGATCTCAGATGGTAAAAATCTTACTGGCCCAGCTCTGGAAATTACTCAAGGAATTGTTCTGGTTTCTGGTGGACTAGCCAGAATATGATGGGATACCTTGGAAGGGTGCCTAACTCTGTATCCTGCTGCAATACATTCTGGGAGAAAAACAGAGTTCGAATACACATCGCTCAAATTCTGCTTAAATCATGGGGTTTGCCTCTTTCTGCAGCTGTGTCTCGGGGACTCGACGGACTGCCTGAGGGACCAAATGCAGTCCGTGGTGAGGTCGCTGCAGGACTTGAAGCAGATCGGCAGGCCCAGGCCACTGAGTGAGCCGTGTGTCCGGTCCTTCGCCGTCACTCGGCTCTGCAAACAGAGGGCCCAGCAGGAGCGCCTCGCCCGGCTCCGGGCGTCCGACGCCAGCGAGGCCAGCACGTACGACTCGGCCTGCTGTCTGGCCAGTCCGCTGGAAGAGGAAGAGGAGGAGGATGAGGAGCAGGACCGGCTGGCACAGGGCTCCCCCAGCAGTGAGAAAAGCGTGGACTTCGACTCGGGCTACTCCGAGGCCTCCTGGCCGGACGAGGGCGTGGTGCTGAGGAGGAGCAGGAACGTGCGCGTCTCCTCTTCTGCCTGCGCCCGCACAAACAGGGGGCCCTCCGGCCGCGTCCGGCCCAAATCCACCTCGGACGCCTGCCTGGAGCGCTGGACTTCTTTCGAGAGCGGCGAGGCGGGGGACTGGAGCGCGCTGCTGCTGAGTCGCAGCAGGAACAGGCAGCCCCTGGTGCTGGGGGACAACAGCTTCGCCGACCTGATAAAGAACTGGATGGACCTTCCCGACTGCCCCGAGCCGGCGGAACTGAGGCCCAGCGCGGGCCGGCGTCTGGCAAAGGACATCCTGGGCAACATGCGGCGGAGGCTGGCGGGGATGTCCAGAGGCGTGGAGATGAGAGAAAGGCCCACGGACTCCACGCGGCTCCTGCGGGCCGCAGACGCCCCGCAGAGGATGTCCTGCCCTGTGGGGCTGGAGTCCCTGAGGCCGTTCTTCCATCAGTCCCACACAGGCCTGCACCAGCCCGACACGGACTTCCACAAGTTCACCGCCCTCATGCAGACGGGCAGCCGGCAACCCATCATATGCAACGACATCATCGGATATATCTGAGCAGAACTGCGTCTGATGACTGACCTTTGGAGACTACTTTGGTTAGGACTGTTCTACTCTCAGTGCCGGTTTTGTTTTCATGTGTAAGTATTTGTGTATTTAATGTAAATGCTGTCTGTTTCTGACGGAGTTTGGGCAGCGGTGAATGCTGCAATATTATTAAAAAATATATAAATATATACAATGACATTGTTGCCGTCATCTTTCAATGGGTCAATTGCTTTTTATTCCATTGTTTTTGCTACTGATATGTATCTATGTTTTGCGTCATCTTTTTACAGTATTGTGGACCAAAAGGCGTTCGTAATTCAGAAATTTGTAAAACTATACCACTATACTCATCCAGCTTTAACAGGATGAGCCAACCGTTAGAGGACCCACAATGCGAGCTGTGTGAACAGCACAGGTTTTTCTTCACTTCCAAATGGAGAGGTTGGGCACTGGTTTGTCAACACAATTACAAGTGCATTGTACTATGACAAAGACAATTATCTGAAAGGTATTTAGGGAAATCATTTCTGGAAATGAAGAACTTAGATAACATTGGTTCCCCAAAGGCACATTTATTACATTATTGCGGAATCACAATTGACATCATACTGTATTATAAGTCCAGTCATTGATTATAAAGAATTACATCCAAAGCTGCAGGAAATATATCAGACGGGATTAACATTGCAATATTCAAATTCAGCCATTCGGGAGAGCACATCATGTTAATGTGAGGATGCGGAGTGAGCCACAGCTGGACAGAGGAAGGTCTAAGAGAAGATTCTGGCGTATGAACAGTTGTTACATTCTGCTCAGCCACACTTGATACTAGATCCAAGCAGTATTTCTATGTTATCAATCACATTATGCTCTAATAAGCATCCCTACAGCCTATTAGAGGTACCCCGAAAAATGACACTTTACATTAATAACTGCAGTTCGTAAACAAGACTTGGAGGCAAAAACATTCAAGGTTCTTTAAAATAAAATGACAGAGATTAAAGGTATAAAAGGATTCATTCTCAAAACAATCAGGACTAGTTTAAGGACATAAATCAGTAACAGTCAGCTACACACCGTAATGGTGGATTTTCACATCAGTTAAATCAATATGTCACAAACAGAATTAAGTCTGGGGTAAGGGGGCATTTCCTTGGTCGTGCCGCAGCAGTTTCACGTGATGGCTTTTTCCATTTAGACTTCATGTTGCCTCACTTGAGGAGGTACCTGATAGTTGGCACCTTGTCACAGTCCTCATCCTCAGAAAACGAGGGGATCAACTCCAGCATCTTCTTATGAGGAGGTATGTCTGCCTTCGTGACCATCTTCACCACTTCAGAAACACTGGAAAATATCCGCACAATCACTTTTATTGTGTTGTTCTCACCATCAGTAACTGGACTGGCAGATGTGAGGACTAGACTGAAGCTCATATCAAACTGATCCCATTTCCAAGTATATTGTGTCCATTGAAAACAATACAAGGATTAATCCCCTCTAGGATTAAATGGGTAGATGGATATTTATTTTCATCATTATCATATGAAATAGTAGGGACATTTTTTGGAACAGCAATGGAAACTTTGAAGGGGACATGGCTCTGTCCTTTGGAGTTATTTAACTCAATCGTGAGTATATCTTGATTAGCTTTGCACACTTAATGACTCAAAATAGTTTCCTATTAGTTCAGAACAGGGTAGAGCTTCCATTGGTATTTTAAAAAAACTCATACTGAGATAGAAGCGATCTTTTTGAGTTTTTCTGAAACTGCTGTCCATGAAGCGTGTTAACTTTGGGTGACATTTAAGGTGATAATGCGTCATTTCAACACTGAGGATGAGTCAGGAAACATGGAAAAGGCTGCCAAGGGACCTAAACAACTACTGCGTTATCATCTGACACCTATGAAAACAATGCCAGTGCATCACATTTGTATACAGTGCAGCATTAACGTTCCCCAAAACGAAATTTTTCCAGGGCTAGCTTTTAGTTTTCAGCTCTTCATTCCCCATTTCGGTGGCTCAACACAGGAAGCTTGGGGCGGGGAGTCTCCACAGGATGTGACTACTGGAGTGTGCATTTGTCATGTAGAGTCTGCCGTCCACATGGCCGGCCCTCTGCCCCTCTCCCCTGCAGCCTAATCTCATCACAACACCACCTCCCCTGAGATTTGAGTGTCAAAATCAGTAAATCTCTCCCCGCCCCCCCCGCCTTTCTTTCCCCAATTCCAACACCTATAAGCTTTGAGCAACAATGACTATTGTAAAAAAGAAAAAAAAAATCTTTGTTCCTTTGTCTTACCACATAGCGAGTGTTTACGGACTCTGGTCTTCAAGTATTTAAAACATACCCCAGCGGTTCTATATCTGGCCGTGCTTTATTCAATAATTGACATCGATTTTCACAGCTTGACGCATCTGACTGATTTCAAACACCCTGAGGCTCATCAGACTTCTGCAGAACTATACAGGTCTGAACGTAACAGACTCCGAGATGTGAAACCTCACACAAATGGACTGCTCTTTAACTCTGGTCTTCAGCGGGCAGAGGGAAACCTGAGGAGGTGTCTCATTCATCTGTGCTTAGTGAGGCGTGCGTTTGTGTCAACAGGCCCTCTGCTCATGGGCTCAGGCAAACCAAGGACTGCTACATTTTGCGATTTGCTGGGTAAGGACTGCGTCCGAGTTCAGCCCAGCGTAACGCTGCGCCCCATTAACTGGACTTACCTCTTCTTCAGCCGTTCCTCGTGCCCATTGTATAAGATAGCAGATCCATAGAAAAGGCTGCAGATGCTCAAACCACACTTTTCCTGCATAAAAGAAAAAATATGGCTTTAACACAACGAAAAGTTTTTTTTTTTTTTACAAATAAGACAGGATACAGAACTGAAAGTGGCCCATGCAGTCTCTAACAGCTTCAGGATGCCGAGCAGCGTCTCCACAAACAAAAGAGGCCAGTCAAAAGTTCAACAAACGAGCACTGGAGCACTGGTCAATTTTATTGTCCTTTTGGCTCCTCAGAAAGACAACAATCATTAAAAAGCCTGTCAGGGAAAGGGCGTACCTGCAAAATAACAGGCTGCAAGTCTTGCAATCACACACTCAGTTAGTATGAACGACTAAACTAATGTAATATTACAAACCCTTTTCCAAAAACCTTAGATTTTTACATTAGGTTTTTAAACTATTTTACAGTTTCTAACAACCATGCGATTGACTCTCAGACCAAAGAATGTACAAAAATGTTCAGTATTTTGCTGTATTAAGAGTAAAAGGAGTGGGGAGACCAGATGAGAAGGAGGTACAGTTTGATGCAGACAAATCTAAAACAAAGCTGAGTTTGAAAAAACAAAACTGGCAGCAGGGCTTTACCTTTCAACAAGACAGTGAACACATAAAAAGATACAAGCCCTCATCTGATTTGAGCATCTGTGCCTTGACCTGAAAACGGCTGTGCATCAACATCATCCAAATTTGCACAAACTTGTCGAATCCCTCCAAAGAAGACCTCAGCCTGTGATTGTTGCTAAAGGTCCCTCAGTAACTGCAAAGGGAATTGTACGACTAATAAAAATGAACTGGATATTTCAGTCTTGTAAAAAGGGTGTAATGTATAACAAAAAATGTGAAAAGCAGAGAAAAAGTAACGGTCTATTGACAGCTGATCTCGTAACTTGGAATCTGATAAACACCAGTGTGGCTTTGTTGAGCCTCTGTGTTTGTATAAGAATTGTGGTGCAGCTATGTGCTGCCACTGCATTTCCAACTGTCCGTGCAAATTAAACACTTGGCTAAAAATCTCTTCGTCCTGTATGAGGCCAAACTAAGCTCTCAGTCTATATACTGCATTTCTTCATATTGTATTTGCATTTCTTCATCATGTAAAAATGTCAACGGGGCATTTGGTAAACATATTATTCCATTTTCAACCACTCATATGAACATGTGCTATTTTTCTCTCTGTAAAGGATTAGGAAGAGCCATGGGTGTGCAAAGTCGGTTTCCTTTCTTTACCTTAATGTACTGAAACAGCTCTTCTAAGGTCATTTCCTGCTGATCACGGCGTTTGCCCTCAACAAGGAAGTCATCCCACAGGGTGAATTTTTGCCCTGCAACCTGTTGATAGACACATTACACGTTAGTCGCACATTAGTTGCCCCTAACCCGCACACACACTGGCAAGTTGACAGATGGAATACTGCTTGTCTGAAAATGTCTGAGTGCATTATTAGAGCCTTGGACTGTCAAAGTCAGAACGACTGCGTTTTTCATCGCAGCGTTACAAACCAGCTGAGAACAATCAGAAAGCCCGGCCAGGCCACAGTGGGGTCAAGTGGGTGCTTCCCCAAGTGTGACAGAGTGACTTTTCCCCTTGGTTCCATCTTTGGAGACTTCTGAAAAGTTTTACAATTGATGTGCACAGCTTAAAGTCCCCTTCAAGCACCAACTTGGGAAAACGTTTCAGAATTAATAAACCATGTGAAGGCATTGCTAAAGGTTGTGATGAAAAAAATATTTTTTCCCCACTGCATTTGATAAGATTACACTTTAAGGATGTGAAATCCAAACCCTACACATTATGTACAAATCATTTGTCATATGTGGAGTAAAACACCTCCCTACATTTAAATAGCAATGGAAAGTTGTGTTTTTAACTTCCCAGTTGAGTTATCCATCAGCTAAACTGTAATGACATACTGGAAAGACACAGCGTTACTAATAGAAAAACAGGATTTATTTTTTGAGGTGATGCTTGAATGGAAAAAGACCACAGATTAAAAAAGTTCACTTATAATCATAATGTTCAAGCAAACCCTTCAAACTAATGTGAATTCTTTGTATTTCTGATTGGGGATAATTATAACAGATTTGGCAACAGTTTTCCCTATCGTCAAGCCATAATGCCACCTTTAATTTTGTATGGAAAGAAATGGGCCATGTAACTAAAATCAGGATTAATAAGGCTTAAGATTTCATAAATGTAAACAAATCAGGACTTCCTCCAACTTCAGGCTCCAATCTTAAGTACTGCCGTCACACCTGACACATGTAATGAGATCCTAATTTGGGACGTATGACCTCACAATTACTCCACATCTATATGTCACTACAACTACAGGATCAATGTTTGAACTCCAAACAAAGACTCAATACAAAGCCAGACACCCAGACAGATTAA